GTGGGGAAGAGCAACGGGAGCCATCTTGGTCTTTTGTTCTTCCTTAATGCCCAGTTCCAAAATTGCAGTTAATTATACAAGTCTCATTTCAAGGTTCTGGTCCACCTTAAATTTAGTTAATTCAACTACCAGAAGAGAAGCTGGAGCCATCTTAATCTTTTGCAGGAAAAAAAGGAAGGAAAAAAACCTTTGTATTTCCCAGTTCTTGACTCTGTTACTGTGTTTCCCCAAAAATATTACATGTCCTGATAATTAGGCCATGCCATATTTTTCTGGTGGGCAAAAATATAAGTCCTGCCCCACAAATAAGCCCTCTGCACAACCCTCCCCCCATCTCCAACCAGGCAGAGTGCCACTCACCAACCTAGCAGTATCTTGAAGGTGCCAAGTCGCAGGAACTGGGGAGGGGACAAAAGTGATTGCATTGCTTGGTGCCTTTGGGATACCACTAGATTGGTGAGTGGCACTGTGCCCAGCTGAAGAGGGGGGTTGGCAGGCAGCTGCTCTCTTGTGAGCGGTCTCCCAAAGAGCTGGGCACAGCAGCCACCCAGCAAACTCCCTTTCCAGACAGGCACAGCACCAGTCACTGACCTAGGGGTATCGCCAAGCCATGTTAGCACCTGTTCGCCACCGCCCGGCTCTCACTTCTTGGTGCCTTCAAAATGCCAGTGAATGGCGCTCTGCATGGCTGGAGAAGGGGGTTGCACAAGTGGCTATTCCGTTCCCACTTGCGTGCCTCCCAGCCTCATGATGCCCTGGCTCAGATCTCCCTGCAGAGCCAGGGGACCTCCGCTGCCACCGCTGCTGCCACCATCCCAGCATGGCTTTTTCAGCAGCTTCCAAACTGAGTCTTCCGGCAGAGGCCATTCTTGGCATACGCTTTATGGTTGTGAGCTGCTGTCAGCAGAGCATACAACCACAGAGCATACGCCCAGAGTGGCCACTGCCAGAATACTCAGTTTGGAAGCTGCCAAAAAAGCCATGCTGGGATGGTGGCGGTGGTGGCAGCAGAGGTGCCCTGGCTCTGCAGGGAGAGCTGGGCCAGGGCATTGTGAGGCTGGGAGGCACGCGAGTGGAGTGGAACAGCTGCTCATGCAAATCCTTCTCCAGCCATGCAGAGCACCATTCACTGGCATTTCGAAGGCGCCAAGACATGAGAGCCAGGCGGTGGCAAACAGGCGCTCATGCAGCTTGGCGATACCCGAGGTCATAAATGGCACTGTTCCCGTCTGGAAAGGGGGTTTGCTGGGCAGCTGCTTGTGAGTGTGGTAACTTCATGGCTGAGGCTGAGGCCCTGAGCTTGTGCCCGGCTCCTTGGGAGCCTGCCGCCTGGCAACCCCAAAACAATAAGGCCTGATAATAAGGCCCAAACCATATTTTGTGGGTGAAAAGAAAATAAGACCCTGTCTTATTTTCGGGGAAACACGGCATTATTTCCTTTCCTTGCCACTCCTCACCTCTCATTGGTCATAGCTGCTCAAAATATATTAATTAGAACAAGCTTGCATACAGCCAAAACTCGGATATGTTTCTTCTTCGCCTCCTGCTTTTCTAAGTTCTGATTTACTGAATTTCCCACACAGGCAAGATTAGGTTATCAGTTGTCAGTGAAGAGATAGTGCTTTTTTCTTGATCTTTCTCCCTTGTTGCATTCCATCTCTCATTAATTGGGATTACTTATGTTGTTAAAAGACACTTGGATGAAATAAATCTTCACGCTCCTAGACTCCTTTAAAAACATCATCTTTTCAAGTCAGAAGCCAAATTTAGAGTTAGTATTTGAATGCATTTGTCACTTCTCTGCTTTCTGCCTTTCTGTCTGAATTGTTTCAAACAAATTGTTTTTTTTTTGGGGGGGGGAGCTATTTTCCTTTTTTTCTTTCTTTTTGAAAAAATCCCAGTCTGACCATCAATATTATTTATGCTCTCAGGATTTTTTTGCCTTTTCCAAGTTTGATTTATGGCTGTGGGTTAGATGAATTTTCTTACTGGTCTTTCATCTCTTCCTCACACTCCTGTTCATTTGTCTTGGCTGGAAGTCAGCTTCTTGTGCAGCATCTTGCCATGCTGCCACTCCTACTCTGATTCAGAGGTCAAATCTCCAACTGCAAGGGACCTGTTGCCTCCCCCTGGGTCTGATGAGATGATGCCCCTTCTTCATCCCCCCTCCAGGGGGATTCCAGTCTAAAAAAGATCTCAGAGATGTTTTCTCAGACAGGGTTCATGTGAGACTCTTGAGAGCCCACCCACCCCCACTTCTGTACAGCTGGAGAACTTCCGGTCGACTCCGTGTTGTTGCAAGTTTAACACACCTGGTATAGGATCTCCTGCCATGGGTTGAATTTAAAGATCTCCAAGGCTCCTTCCAACCCTATTATATTATGTTCTACAGAAACCATTCTCTAGAAATCAAATTAATACCCTTCATATTTTCTGGAAAATATATTCAGTGCACTTATGGATTAATCATGAATTAGTATATATTTTACATATCTTATCATCAATCAGCCACCAAATGCATGCATTGGCTATTAATCTTGATAGCTAACAATTGTCTTCAGTATCAGAAGCAGTATATTTCAAATACAATGAGTCCCAAAAGTCTTAATGCAGTTTTAAAAGCTTTAAATTGCACTTTTAAGAAACACTGTATATGTTGCTGGGGATCAAATGTGTAGTTAGTTTGTCCACATGTCCCAAATATATATATTTATAAATATGATGTTGAGCATTCTTGCATTTGCCTCTCCTTTCTCATCATTTTTTTCCAGGAAGAAATCAAAGCAATAAGGAACATCTTGAACGGAAGGTCAAAGATTACCAGAACAGTGAAAATGTTTTTAAGATATACAAAATCAAATCACATATCTTATTAATCTTCTACTAATTAAAAATAAAAAATAAAGAGAAAGAACAGATTTGTTTATCTTGATGTTTTCTTGTGATTAATAAAAGCTTAAGTCTTGCATTCCCTGAAATTGTATACAGTTAAATAATATTCATCAGAATTCAGTGCAGTTTTGAAAACATGCCCCTCTCCCAATGCCCTGTTTTCTGATTGTCATGGCAAAATATCTCTCTCTGTGGGAAAATTACTATTCAGCTCTTTAAGATGCCTCCTCCATTGTGAATAGAGTTACAGTATTTGCTAGGGCTTCCTTGAGGTCATTCCTTGGGGCTGTGAGAATGAAATTGTGCTCCAGAATGCTGATTAGAGCCTGATGTGGTGGGGTAGCTCCCAAGTTATCAGTTGCCATTGAGGCTGGAAATGCGATGGTTATAGAATTGTTGCTCGACTTGAGAATATACTGGTTTGCGGGGGACATTTGGCATAAAGTTCTTTGAACCTGAGATATATTAAATGTAAAAATCAAAGCACAAGAAGAATTGGCTCGATCTGATTTGTTTGGGTGAAAGCAGCATGGCTCTTTGGTACATAGGTTTTTATGGTCTATGGGAAAAGGCATTCCTTCCAGGAAGTTTCTCAACTTTTGGAATGAGTATTTAATGGTTAGGAGCTTGATGATGTAATATCCTAATTTTTCAAGTGCTACCATATGTTTCTCAGCACCTCATCCAACGTTGAAACTTGTGTGATCACTGATGTGTTGCCCTCATAGATAAATAGATATGAGTGGTATGGAAATGGTTAATTATTCATATATACTCTTATACAATGTTGAAGACAATATACTTCCTTGTGGCAGCCCATTCTTCTGCAATAATATGCATTCTCCATCTATTCTTCTTACCATTCAGTGTCACATAAAATCTCCAGTTTTGGAGGAAGCTGCCAATGATTATGGTAAGCTTATTATTTAACTTGCATAGCAATGCTGTATGTTTAACAGTGTCATATGCTACAGTTAAGTCAATGAATTTGCTTGATGAACAGCCATCACCAGACAATATAATTTTGTATTATTTAGTTTCAATACCATGGCTATAAAATGAAACACAATATAAATTGTCTTGTTATTTGCTGCTACTTCTCTCCTGATATTAGGTGGGACAATGCCACCAAAAGTTGAAAAAGATATAATTTCTAATCTGATATAATTATTGCAATTGTTGTTAAATGATAGAAATTTTAGTATTAATTATGTTTTGGTTTTAGATAGTTTTGATACTGTATAGAATTTTATTTTAAAATTTCACTTTCCTTTCTCGATATAGCTAGCTAGCCAATTAAAAATAGTTTAGGTTGGGCATAACTTTTTAACTAAACAGTTATGCCCATCCTAACCTATTTATATGTATTTGTATGTGCATGTGCATGTATATGTATACAGTGTTTTCCCGAATATAAAACCCACCATGAAAACAAGCCTGATTTTTTGGGGTAGACCTAATATAAGCCCTACCCCAAAAATAAACCTGGGGGATGGCCAGCATGAGAAATGGTCAGTGTGTGGGGGCTGGCAGTGTCCACTGCAGTCACAACCCGCCAGTCCCTTGTGTGGTGCAAATACCATTAATTCTGAGCATGGAGGCAGAGGGTGAGGGGAGAAGGCAGGCAGGCAATCCAGACATGCTGTGTGCCTGCTTGACTCACAGGAAGCTTGTGGGAGGTTTGCATGGCAGCAGGAAGAGGCATAAGCATGGGGAATGGGGAAGGCAGGCGATCCTGATGTGCCATGCAGGTGCCTGTTTGGCACAGTTGCAGGCAAGCCATCCACCTGTGGCCTTACTCCCAAGTTGACCACTGTTCTTTAGCTGTTCCCTTCATCTGGCAACTCTGTCCATGCACCCACTGGGAACAGGCTCCAGCTGTTCATCTGCCTCACTGATGTCTGACTCTGAGGGCAGCTGATAACTGGCATACAGCTCTGGCCCCCACTCTGCCTCTGACAGAGAGCCCTCATCAGAGCTTTCCCCAGATTCCAGGACTGGCCCATGTTCCTCCCCAACCTCCTTGCTGTCTCAATCTGCTGCCAGCTCTGCTGGCTGCTGGCGGGCCACAACAGTTGGAGAGCAGGTTGCTGCCAGTCATCTTCTCGGTCACCTTGTGGGTCTTGTCCTTGGCCTGTGCATGGAACATGTTCCTCTCATGCACCTGATGCACCTTGGCCCTGATATGGGCTGCTGCTGCTGCCACCCAGCAGATTCACCCAAAGGAGGTGAAATGGCCAGCAAGAAAGGCCGAATATAGTTGGAAGAGCATTCCCAGCCACATGGAATGAAGCAGGTACATCCTCATCACATGCCTCTCACCCGACTCTGCCTGCTGCTGATTCCACCATTGCCACACCTGCTTCTTGGAGGGCCAGCTGCAGAGCCCCTGCTATCTGACACCTCCCCCATCCCCCATGCACCTGCACACACATACACACATGAAAGGCCAGAGACGCTGGTGCAGGCATGGCACTGATCTGCAACCTAGTGGCATCCACACTGGGATTGGGTGGGCTGGGCTGAGGCAACGCTGGTCTGATGACTCCTGTGTGCATATGCGCATGCTGGGATGATGTGGAAAGTGCCTGTGCATGCATGTGCATGCCTCCTATGTGCATGCCACTGGCCAGGATGTTGTGGGCCAAGCTGAAGCTGGCCCCTTACAGTTTCCAGGATGGCTCCGCAGGCCAGATCTAACCACATGGTGGGCCATATCCAGGCCCAGGGCCTTAAGTTTGACACCCCTGGTGTCCTTTAAAGGACTTTTTAAAGAAATGTAAATTGTAATCTTTTTAAAAATTTAAAAACACTTTAATCTCAACCTTAAAACAGTTTAAGAATTGTTGTGGCCCAGCAGGAGCCGTTGGACTCCGACAGTGAGGGGCCCTATGAGTTGGCTCTGGAGGATGTGGAGGACCCTGGATAGCGTTCCGACTCCGAGCAGGGTGCAGAGAGGCTGGTTGGCCACCAGGAGGCTCCTGAGCCTTGGACCAGTGGGGAGGAGCCAAGGGAGTTGTTCCTGGATGCCCAGCACCAAAGAGCTAATAGGCATAAGGAACAGTTGTGCAGTTACAGGAGATAATTGCACTCAGCTGGTGGTAATTAGGCTCCTCTCAAGACTATAAAAGGAATGATTGTGCACACGCCCTTTTGCAGGAGTCAACGCATTCACTAAAGTTGGAGAACTTTCGTGACTAGCTTGGCAGGCTGGATTGCTACCAAGGTTAGTCTGTGCTGGATTGCTGCCAACATCTTGTCTGTGCTGGATTGCTGGCAATGTCTTGTCTGTGCTGGCTTGCTGCCAAGGTCCTGTCTGCGTGTTAATAAATCCTGGAAGTATCTTTGTCTCAGCGTGCTTTGTTGTAGGGCAAGGGGGGGGTCAGAATTATATTTCAAATAACCTAGATTTTGGGTTACACCATTCTTGGTTGGTTATTCTGAGCTTGGTTATTTTTTTTACAGACATCTCATTACCAAACCAAGTAACTTCAATGTAGCTTGCATGTCAATGTTGGTGGGAATGGTATGGTGGTTTCATTATTAGACCACTGTCTATTGAGCAAAGATGTTACCTAGTTTATTACATAAAACATGGTTATTCTAAGCATTTATATCCCACAGTTCCATCCTGACCAACAAATATTATTTTCTATCAGAATCTAGAATGTTCCAGAATATCTACACTAGGTCTACAGAAACCTGTAGTGATGTGAGCAAGTTTGAGCAGCTCTTCAAAGCATTATAATCAATTGCTGAATTTGTTTCCAACAATGCTAGTGCCCCAATTTTATGTTATTGTTCAGGTAGTCCTTGACTTACAAACACAATTGAGCCCAAAACTTCTTTTGTTAAGTGAGACATTTGTTAAGTGAGTTTTGCCTCATTTTATGACCTTTCTTGCCACAGTCATTAAGCAAATCACCGCAGTTGTTAACTTAGTACAACGGTTAAGTGAATCTGGCTACCCCACTGACTTTGAGGGATCACATAATCCTGGGACACTGCAACCAACATAAATATGAATCAGTTGCCATGTATCTGAATTTTTATCATGTGACCATGGGGATGGTGCAATGGTCTTAAATGTGAAAATGGTCATAAGTCACTTTTCTCAATGCTGTTGTAACTTCAAACAGTCACTAAATGAACTGTTGTAAATCAAAAACTACCTATATGTTGTTTGGCGTCCCAAATCTGTAGGAATTTTTATAAGCAATTTTGAAAGAGAACAGTCTAGCTATTTCTGTTTTTATGTTGACTGCTTTCAGTTTTGCTAGATATTCATGTTGGGTTTTTTAATTATTTCATTGTCTGTTCCCACCTGTGATCATACACTCCTTCTCAAATACCTGATCTGCAATGTCAGAGCTTATTACCTCATTCTCCAACGGGCATAATTTTAGATCTTGCAGTCCAATTCTGTTTTATTTCCTGCTCCTCCCTGGAAGACAAAAAACTGAAGCCAGGTCAATCCCATTTTTGATGGCAGGCAATGACTGTTTCCTTGCTTTTTTCTTGTTATTTTTCAGACTATAAGACAAACTTAGATTTAGAGGAGGAAAACAAGAAAAAAATGCTTTTTGGCCACCACACATCCTGTTTTCACCCAACCCTGGCCCCCAGAAGCACTTTGCAGGGCAAAAGCAGGTCCATTTTTCACCTCCCAAACCCTACCTGCATCCTGTTTTCACAAAAAAAGTGTCCATTCTTGGTCTGCAAAGTGCTTCTGGGGGCCAGAGAGGGTGAAAATGCAATGCACAGAACATTCGGGAGTTCAAAAATGGGCCCATTTTTGCCAAAAACAGGCCATGCAAAGCACTGCACAATGCTACTGGGGGCCAGAGAGGGCAAAAATGTGATGCACAGAGGGTTTGGGAGCCAAAAAATGAGTCTGTTTTTGGCAAAAATGGGACATGCAGAGCACTGCAGAGTGCTTCTGGGGGCTGGGGAGGGCAAAAAATGC